TTTATTTTAAGCATCATATTTTCATTTTGTTCTATTGTATATACAACATATTTACTTCATTTCTCTCCATATATGTTTTTGTTAGGTTTCAGTTTTTCCCATTCATTCGAAGACTAAAGTTGTTAACTTCTTTTTACCCTTTTATAGAATTTGGTTCTGAGCCAGGTTTTCTTACTGCCATCCATGCTGAGTTGTAGGTCATGTAAAGATATTCATGTTCTTTTGTTTGCTCTTTTCTTCTTCCCCAGTCTGTTTCCTCCTCCTCACTTTAAACTACTCTCGTTTCCCTGTTTCATTTTAGGTTCATTTTTCCTGAATCTTTTCCGTGCATTGAGATGTCTTATCCTAACTAATTTCTGCAGTTTCCGTCCACCAGTTAATTATTTATGTTATTTTTACGTACTACGATTAAATTAGCATTAAGATCTTTCAAAGGAAAAAACAACTTTCAATCTCAACCAAAATTTAAAGGTGATTTTACTGAAATTTGATCTTATACTTTTCCTTCCGTCTATTAGAAATATTAAATGAGATTAAGTTAAGCGAAACCTGTCATATAAAAACAAAACACTAATAAAAAACAATTCACATAGCCGTATTTTAACAAAGCGTTTTACTGCCTTTAACCCTGTGTTAGTCTTTCGGGGTCCGACAGATGGAAGCACATACATGTATGTTGTTCTCAGTAGCTTCAGTATTCGGTTAGTTTGTTACACTTAGTCTAGGTGGTAAAAAAAGTGACAAGTTGTGATATTCAATCTTCATTTATTGATTAATAAAGTAAAATATTTTGAATATTTGTTTTTTTTTCCAAAATTATAGTTTATTACTATTATTTATAATTTTTTATGATGGGGTCCACTCGGACCCCAGCGGAGTGACTATGGAAAATTTTTACAGAAGACTTACTCAGGGATAAGCGTGTCATTTATTTGTTTGAAAGATTAAATCAGTTATTATGTATGAACTATTCATTATATCATTAAAAATCCACAGGCTTAATGTTTTTGTTGCGAAATTTTTGATTCCTTAAATTTAGTTCTTCATTCATTTGCAAGAAAAATTAGCTTAGAAAAGCTTACCATAAACATGAATTCAGAAAGAATATTACATAATCTATTACGCTAACTAAAGTTATGCATCATATTTGGTGTATTAGCGACAATTTTGATTTATTATAATTCTTCTACTACAGAGACTAACGTAGCTTATTAACTGGATAAGTCATACAGAAATCTAATTTGCCACGGCAATAACGTAACATGATATATGTAAAGCATATTTTCACAGTTTTTAAACAAGCTTTACTTGTGCCCTGAATAAGTCAACCTAGTCATTACATGTAAAAAATCTAATGTCTCTTAAAAAATGCAAATGATTCAACAACTGTGGTTAGTAGTTAAGGGGTCTTTTCCCAGGCACGTCGATAGGGGGCGCCACATGCGTGTCGACCAAAGCCAATAGGGGAGGGAAGGGTGAATGATGCCTTCAAAAATAATGACGTTATATTTCCACACATTGTAACCAGAAAAAGTATTCTAAGCCGACTGAAATACTCTGACCGTTTGTCAGGCACAGCATGTAATAAATTTACACTAATCCGTAAGGTGAGTCATTCCTCTCTTATTAGTTAAAGGTTGTTTGAAGTGTTGACCATAAAAAAGTCAGTATTTCTGCAGTTGTTTTATGTACTGTAAAATCACTGTTGTATGTGTGTGAACACATACTGATCTTTGTAATTCTTAAAAGTCTGTGTCCAAATTGTATGGGTGTCACTTCCTAAGAGTCATCTCGGTCTCAAAAATGTATGCAGTTTGGTATTTTAAATAATAGTAAAGTTAAGCCGCAAGTCGTTCATTTAATATATTTAGCTAAATAAAGGCGATAAGAGTAACTTATTGGTTATAATAACTGTCTAATTTAAATAATATCTATGTTTTACTTGAAAGCGAAACAATTAATGTCCTACAGAACATTGTCTGAAAAAAAGCTATGATCACTTTAGAAATGTATTCCATACTTTCACAAGATTTTTGTACCGAAAGTAGTTTGAAATGTATTCCATACTTTCACAAGATTTTTGTACCGAAAGAAGTTTGAAATGTATTCCATACTTTCACAAGATTTTTGTACCGAAAGTAGTTTGAAATGTATTCCATACTTTCACAAGATTTTTGTACCGAAAGAAGTTTGAAGGTGTGTTTGCCTGTGATCAATTCCTAATGGTGTTAGTCAGTCTGAAAAAATTATGTAATTTTAATCTTCTATAGAAAATGGAATGATAAAGAGTAAGTCATTTATTTGTTTGTTTGTTTGAAATTAAACACAAAGCTACACAATGGGCTATCTGTGCTCTGCCCACCACGGGTATCGAAACCCGGATTCTAGCGTTGTAAGTCCGCAGACATACCACTGTGCTACTGGGGGCGTCATTTAGTTATTATTTCTAGTTGTAGCAAATTGAATTAGTACTGATGTTAAATATTGCAAAATGATGATTTTAACATAATTTAATCTAGACATTGATCATATGTGGAAGTATAGTGACACTGTGATAGTATATTCGTTTAAATCCTATGAAAAGTCGTTATATAATGGTTTTAATATAAACATTGATCATATGTGAAAGTGTAGTGTCCACCCTTGTAAAACATAAGACAAAACTATAAAATATAATGTGTAAAATGAAATATTTTGTCAAGTTATAGCATAAAGTCAAACTCGAGAAAGTGGAAGTTTAATTATTTCATGATATCATCCTTTCTAGGACATATAAATGATCAGGAAATGTAATTAATGATTTAGTGATAAGTATCCTTTTTAGGACGATTTAGTTATAAACCTTTTATTTAACTAATGATTTAGTGATTTATACCGATTAAATATAGTCATGTTGAGACATCAAACAGTAAATTTTAATTATTTCATGAAGTCGTCCGTTTAGGACGATTTATATGGTCAGAAAATTTAATTATATAATGAAATAGTGATTTATACGGATTAAATATGTTCATATTGAAATATGTTTATGCTGATTCAATGGAACTATGACGTCATAGCCGTCTTTCATGACGGCCTAAAAACACGTTCTCTACTTTGTGGAGCTATTACATAATCGTCCGTCACGGCGGCCTAGCAATGCATCCCAAACGCTCCCTCTGATGACAATTTGTGGAACTATGACGTCAAAGTCTTTGATGGCATCATCCCTTCCCTCTCTCTAGCGGCGTGCCTGGCAACAGACCCCTTAACTACTGTGGCTTTAATGAAGTAATTTCGACTACTTTAAAATTTTTCTATACTTGTAACATCGATCTAAAAGTTCAATATTGCACAAAACATTCAAAAGTTTAAGCTTTAGTATTTTTGACAAATAGTTTATTAATTACAGATTTGTGTTTCATTCCCCACATCAGTCAACTCAATAATGAAACAGGTGATTTTTTTTTCATGAAAATTCCGAAGGATTAAATTTGATGTTTTAAAGGAAAATAGATAATTATAATCTTCAAGTAATCTATTATCTCAATAAAAATGCCATAACTTAAGCCTTATAACATGTCTCATTGTGTGTGAATTTACTGTGTATGTACAGACACAGTTCTGAGGAAGAATGAGTATATTTATTTTATCCTGAAAGTATTAGGTCGTCAATAAATTAATGTCGCGTTTTGGAATACTTTCATTAACCACCCCAAAAAAAACGTACATCACGTAGAATATATATAAACGAACGACTTAAACCTCACGTTAGTGTAGCCTATATGATGTGTAAAGTTCAGTATACTCTAATCTCTTATAGTGATGGCACACGACGAGACACACATTCGGCATGTAATGCTGTTCGATTAACAAAAAGGGAACAACGCCTCTGTAGCCAACAAAGAATATC